CATGTTTCTGCAAGGTGAACTCTAGAGGAAGTGAGGTGAATATAAACCATGGAAAATTTGGCATGCATCTATAAAGAACCCTATCTTGGCATGATTGCTATTTATTTTGGCAGTAGGCTTTTTTACCTTCTAAAAACAGATTATCCTGTATGTCTTCTCAGTTTTTCTCTATTCATTTTGAGCTCAAAGTTTAGACTGTAGAAAGGGGGAGTGTAGCCAAAATCCATTTCTTTCTCAGTAGATATCATGAGCTGGTAAGGCCTTAAATAATGTTTCCCTGATCAATGGTCACACTCCCCGCTATCCAACTATACCATGAAAATAACAGTTTGAATACCTCATTTTTTATAGAGGAACCAGTTTGTCATTGAGTTTTATACAGTTTTAATCAGAACAACTTTCTGAAAGTAAAACCAAAAAACAACCATATTTTTCCTATGAACAACTTCTGTATTTAGACAAAGGTATCAACAAATGGGCTAGTTAAAATTCACTGCAGACAAATCTGTTGTCATCTTGGCTCCTGAAATAAATGGCTCTTTGGCTATTCTGTCCCTTTTCAATACTGGATAAGAGCTTCTAGAGTGAAAAGGCAACGCTTGTACATTCAGAGATCTTACTACTCTAAAGGAAACTGCAGCAAAGAGTATAGACCTTTCAGCTAACATTCTTCTCAGCAGTACAACAAAGCAAGCCTTGCGTCCCAGCTTAAATCCTCTCGCTTGTGATCCAAACTACAGCATTTGCGTAGTTTGGCCATTTAAATTTTTAACAGGGAAAGTAAATTGGCAAACCCAGTAAATTGGACTTGTCTTTTGATTTCAGCATTTAGTAACAGCAAGTTCTGCCTGTATCTAGATGCAAAGTGGTTATTTAAAGCCAGCCCTTGAAGGGAATGCCATGGGAATGGGATTCCACTGGGGCTTAATGGTTTTAAATGAGCACCCCTCTCCCATAGCTGTACCACTCAGTCCTGCACTTTTTCCATAGCATTACGTTTGCGCTGCGCTGGATTAATAAAGTCAAAACAAAGCACTGTATCATGTTTTTAGAGATACTGTGTTGCATATGTTAATACCTTGCTTCTGTATACTGACCTCAGGCAGTGGCTAGGATGGCATCTGCAAACTAACTCTTCGAAACATGAGCTGCACACAAATTGCCATGACAAGAAAGATAATCTTGCTCTATGTTTGTTTTCCAGCTAAGAAGCTCTTTCAAACAGGCCTTTGGAAAGAAGAAGTCCACCAAGCCTCCTTCTTCACATTCGGACATAGAAGAGCTGACAGACTCCTCTCTTCCTTCATCACCTAAATTGCCCCACACCTCAGGAGAGTGTGGGGCAACGTCAATGAAACCATCCCAGTCAGCATCTGCGTAAGTCTCTCTCTTGGCAAACCTTTCTTCCCAAATGGGAAGGACTGTGAAACAGACCTCCTCAAGTGTGGCCATTTGCAGTTCAGAAACCATTGCCAACAACTGTGATCTTTTAATCGCATGCTCCATCCATTTGCCAGATTTCTTGTGAGCTTCACTCCACTTACACGCTATTTTTCCAGCAGCTCTTTCTTTGGTCATTCTCTCCTTTCACAGCCGTTACCCAAAATCATATAGCAGTACAAACTTCTTTCCAAATGCGTATCTAAAAGCTTATGTTGTGCTCTACCTGTACCGTTAGCAACTTTATCATATCCACTTAATAAAGACCAAGTACTACAGTTTTGTTTCTTCATGACATACTAAAGTGTAATTTTATTTTCAAGGTAGCTATGAATTTTTATGAGATACTTCACCCTTCTGTTATTAATTTATCTACTTTGTAGCTACTAATTTATATAATTTTAATCTATTTCCCCTCTTTTATCAGCTTAGATTTTTTTGCGGGACTTTTATTTTTTATTCAAATCACCATCTTTAAGGTTACAGGGCACAAGAAGTCAGCAGTCAAAAGCTGTACCATTTCTTCATCATTTTTTTGTTGTTTAATACAGTCTTCTTACAGAGTTCTCAGCTCCCATTCATATTCTTCTACCTAATTTTTTTTTTCATTCTGCTGAACGCGTAACTTTTTCCAATTTAAGGAGATAAAACTCTTTGAAACAACAAATGCCAGCCTTACTTTCCTTGTCCTAACTGAGAATAATCGGGTCACAGCCACTCTTCCTTAAAGCACCCAGGGAATTATAGGCTCGTGGCTGATTACTGAGTTGCAGAATAAAATTTCCCTGTGTTAGTTTAGGTGCCTTTTATGATTAACTTTTTATAGACTCTAATGATTTTTATATACTAGGTTTAGGAGTTGGACAGCAAATATTCCCACAAAAGAAATCCTTCCACAATAAATGTTTTTCTTTCCTCACATTCCGTACACACTAGTGAGGAATATCTCATCTAGATTTCTAGTTTTGTTGGGTTTTTTATAGAAAGCTCACATTTTTATGGTTTCAGGTATACATGTGTTTTGGAAGGAGGATTTCTACATGTTTGTGGTCTGATTTATTATCAATTTAAAAATCACTAGCAAAAGCCTTAGTAGAAAGTGCCTGAACTTAAACAAAACGCTTTTATTCTACAGAACTATTTACTCGTGATTCACAGATGTGCTCTCATAACCTCATCTTTTTTCCTTTCTGCCAGCCATGTTTTTTTCTCTGTCTCTTTGACTTGCTCTTTAGGTACACTGGTGTTCCCAGAATGCATCAAGGGCAAAACTACATATCTAGTCTCTCATCCCAAGCTCTTCCCATGACTGCTTGGTCTCTGAGCCTTAACTTCCTAAATTCTGTCCAGTTCACAGCATTTTGGTTCTGCCTCCACAACATTTTTAAACACCTAACTTTCTGAAAATACTATTGCATTTTTTATTATTGTGACCTTTCTACACAGGATAACAGATTCTTTGCTTCCACAGAGAGGTCGTGTAAAATATATTTATTCAGATTAATTTCTTTGTCTATTATACTGATAATGTTACCTTATTTGGAAAACTCAGTTTTCCATTGTGTAATTTAAACTTGTCACCTTCAATACTTTTCATAATTGTCAGCAGCCTCTGTTCAAAGAGCACGACTTACTCCTTTTACCCAAAACTACCTATTGATTTAAAAATCCTGAGATTACAATGAAAAAAAAAGTAAAGCTCTTTCCAAATACTTTGAGCCTTTGTCTGAAGTCTGACCAGGCTTCTGAGCTTCTTTCTGTAACTGCTTAGGAACGCTTATCTTTTTGTTTTTCTTCCTTTTGATGAAGCTTCTTCTTTTTATGTAAATTTACAGTTGTAGGAGCTGAGTGTTGAAGAGTTCTGCAATCTGCAAGAGAAAATTCAGTCCATACTTTCTGCTTCCATTCTGCTTATCTAATCAGTCTAGACAGCTTTTTCCTGCTTCTTCTAGAACCATAGCCCTGCTTTCTGCTTCAGTTGTAACTTCTTTAAAGCTGGCTTGCCAAGGTCTTTTTGTCCATCTGTTCTCAAGATGTACTGCAAAAAAGCCAGAAAGTAAATGGTGAACAAACAGATATGTGACTTCCCAGTTGTCCAAGTTGTCGTATGAGATAATATGTGCATGTAAATAAAATTTGATTTCTTATTTGGCTAGCATAGGTATGGACACACCAAACCAAGAACTGTATCATACTATTTGCAAAAAAATACTGGTGTGTGCATTTACTCATTTTTACTCACATTTCAAATATTTGTGCATGTTCTGAATAATATTCATTATTGTCCTTCTTCAATTTGCCATATTTTTTTTTATTTGCCATGAACTTCTTCATCTTCCCTTTGCTTACTTTTTCGTTAAATATTTTCTTGACCTGACTCTCATGTTTTAAACCATTACCTTTACTCTCTTCCAATTGCATCTGTCTAATACGTGTGTATGCAGGTCATCTCTAGTCTGGGCACCAAAGAAAAGGCAAAACGGTCACGTGGTCTACAAGCATAGATCCCGGTAAAATTGAGTGTGGGGCATGGAGTTGTATACCCAACTGCTGACCTGAAGAGTGCTGCATCTTCTTTCCCAAAATGCATTTGCATGCATTCTGGCAATTAAAAGTTGACCTCTGTTTCTTGTTTGTATATTAGTAGTGATAATCACAATAATAATACTTATTATTATAAAACATTTTTTATATTTCAATTGTTCTGCAAATATTAACTATTTATAGTGACAGTAATAAAGAACAAATAACATTTAGTGAATTGACTGAACATATTGCTTAGTGTAATGATGTAGCCAAAATTCAGTGTTTTGTTTTCTACGGGTTGTCTTATGCAACAGATCCTGGTCCGATGATGACACAGAGAGGCAAAACAGTCTGACATGAAAACTGGACAGTTGTGGGTTCTTGTGCCAGTCATGTTTTGATCTTTTCTCACAATATAATGGTTTCTTCCCTTAAAGTTAATGTTTATGAAGGGTAATCACACAGTGATCACTTTTAATACAGTCTTTAAGGAAAAAACAGAACAAAACAATACAAAACTAATCAGCATGATTTCAGATACCATACAATAATAATGATAGGTTATAGGCAAAAAGTCAACATTACAAATCAAAACCATTACAGATCAAAATCTTCTAGATCATGAAGTCAAGAACTGTCTCTTCGTGTCCTGTTCAAAACAGAGAAAACTGTTAATACCTAACAGATAATAAATATCAGCAGTACAGTTTAATCAGCATACTTCAGTTCTGACTGTTGCAACTTGGGAAAAGCATAACCTTTGTACCAAAGAAATAATGCAGATATAAAATCAAATTAAAACCAATGGGTGATACACACTCAAAAAAAAGATTCCTAAAAAGTTTTTAACTCTTTTTTACCATAGTGAACTAGCTAACTAAACAGGAAAGGTATAAAGCAAGCTGATCGTTTCATCTGGAGAGGGCTTTTTTCCTTTTTTAATTTGCAATTTGAGCCTTTTCATGCTTCTTTGATAAGATTCTTTCTTCACTCATAGGTTTCACCAACAGCAAGCATTTTCTGTACTTTGATATTTAGTAATGACACTGCTTTGGGGGGAGAACCTTCCTTTAATCTCCTGCCTGTTTCCTGCTCCTCTTTAGGATCTGTGAGTGCACAGAGGCAGAGGCTGAAATTATTCTTCAACTAAAGAGCGAGCTGAGAGAGAAAGAGCTAAAATTAACGGACATTCGTCTTGAAGCCCTCAGCTCTGCACACCATCTGGATCAGATTCGGGAAGCCATGAACCGCATGCAGGTCAGTTCAGTAGCGTAAGCGATGACAGAGGTGCACACCAAAGGCATGCCTGGAGTATTTCCTTTCTCAGTACTTCGTTTCAGGTACCAAAAAACTGTTGATACAAAGTAAATTGCTAGATTGACAGTACATCCAAAGGATGGGTATGATAAGTGTTCGCTTTATAATAATGATATTCTTAGCATTTATATTAATAGCTAAAATATGTTTAAGAGATATGGAAGGAGACATAATCCCTGCCTAACGGATATTTGTTACCTAAACCTTGTGACTGGGGAAAGCAACATGACAGACAAGCAGATCAAGAAGTGATTTCTACTGAGCTTTAAATCCTTGGGCCACGTAGGGGATAGGGGTATATGTGCATACTCTCTCTCATCATTTTAGATTCCTAACCCAGTTGTGGCTTGCTGAAGCAAAGAATGAAAAATTGAATTATTGTATCCAGCATCACTAATATTTCACCACATTATTTTGTGACACTGCTGCAAATCCTTCCTGAACACATTTTTCATCAGAAGATTTTCCCTTTCATGAGGCTGAAAGGATGCAGAAAGAACGGCAGTGTTCTTCAGTGAAGCATGGAGCTTCATGGGACTCAGCTTGGTTGCCCCCATACAAGTGTCTAGTATCATGCTGGGTCAAGTTTTCCCAAAAGGACAGGCAGCCCCCTTGGAGCTGCCAAACTCTGTGACATTTTGGAGAATTGATGATGATTGGTAAGGGGGAAAAGCAGTATTGGTGGGAATGATATATGAATACTGTGTGTATTCAAAGCACCTTAAAAATCTAAAGCTCAGCTGGATGGAAGACATCTAAGGGTCGTGTAATTAATCAGCATAAATTGCAGAGTAGATGGAGATTGTGTGACTCATTTCACCATAGCTCCTGATTTGAACCCCAGGCTAAACTGGTGCATTCATCTATTGCCTTCCGTGGCTATTTTGCTGGTTTGTCCCTTCACTTTCATTATTTCCTCGCCTTTGCCTATATGATCTAATCTTTCTGTAGCTGTTGCAGGTTTTTTTGTGATGCTATCACTTATGTTTTTACTTGTATAATGTAGCTGTATAGCCTTCATAAAAGAATAGGACTTTTAGCAGAGTGTTAGTGAAAGTGGATTAAATTTGATGTGCAAAACCGTCTGCAAGAATAAGCAGTTGCTTTGTACTGTGCTTCATGAAGCGACTGAAAGCTAGATTTAGCTGGTACCAGGCTGTTCTCAGGCTAAGTTTTCATTTTATTATTGTACATTCAATAATCACTTGGCACCACAGAGGATTTAGCTAAAGAAAATTCCTAGTTGTTCTGATTCATCTGTCACTGTATGTTTTCATCAAAGAGGGTTTGCTGGCCGTTATGTGAACAATCCCATGTTTCAATGATCAGAAAGTTGTATCTGATAGCAAGAAGGGTTATGAAACTGTTAAACTATCAATTTCTAAATGTCCATTTTTAATTTCATTTCTCCTCTTCAAAATTACTGCTTAAATTTTACATTCAGTGGCAGTAATAATTTTCTGTGACTTTGGAGACATTGACATGGCCAAGATTTTAACAGTAACTTTCTTAACTGTCACCTAAGCTGTTTGACAAAACCTGGGGATAGCTGGGAAAATTCTCACCATACTTGTATTATGGTCAACTGTACAATTAGCACAGAAGCTTGAAGCTTATGTTGTCTAGGAACTGTCTTGAGGCAAAAGCTAAAACAAGTTTACAGGGGTTTTTTCCCTTCATTTCAGAAGTGAAGGCAATCCAGTTTTCACTGACTGCATTATACTTCTGACATGGAGTGCTACATACTGCTGTGAAAGTGGTAAACCAGTTAGCTCCTCCAGGCAAACAGCAAGCACCGTAATAGCCACCCCAAGTGGTTTTCTGAAAGAATAACCTCCTCTGCTTTTATGTTGATTTCTTTTGAATACAGAATGAAATTGAGATATTGAAAGCTGAAAATGATCGTTTAAAGGCAGAGACTGGAAATACTGGAAAGCCTGCCCGGCCATCATCAGAGTCTTCAAGCAGCACATCATCTTCTTCATCACGGCAGTCACTAGGACTTTCTCTGAACAATTTAAACATCACAGAAGCTGTTACATCAGGTAAACATATTTTGGGCACATGCATGCCTCAGCAATTAGTAAGAATTTATTATTTTTGCTCTCCTAATGGGCCATATATAAGAGGCATGCTTGAGAATTAAAACACCTCATATCACTCAGGTAAACTTCAGATTTACATTCACTAATGGAGATGAGGAGGAATGCTGGCAGTCATGTCTGAAAATGTAGCTTTTAGAAGGCTATGATAATAGTAACAGACTGTTCATTAGGTTTGCTTAGTTCTCAGCTATGATACTCTCTACCTACCTAGTTTACAATACTCTTTTGTCATCTAGTTTACAATTTATTTGAAAAGGACGATGTCTGTTGTAGTATAATGGACCACTGTATGGATAAATTCTCTTATCCCTATGGGATAAATATGAGCATGGTACATGAAACGTTATTTTTTGTGTTTACAGATCTTTCATCATTCAGTTGGCACCCTTAACTTCATTTCGTATTTGCAGCTGGGGCAGAAAGTGATCTCAGTTAGCTTTATCCCTTACATTTTTTTAGTGTGATATAGCTAGTTAGCCTATGTTGGACCAAATCACCATCTACCACAGGAGCCAAACCCCGCCTGGCTTATTAAGCACTCTCATTGTCTTCAGTGAATGAGAGAAAGCAAGCAGAATTTTGGACTGCATCCTGAACATTAACATTTGATTATTTTCCAAGCCATAGAGTTTATGATAATACGCCTTCTACACTTGTTTTGATAATGTAGCCAAGAAACAGAAGTGCTGTCTCTAACATTAGAACCAGGAGCAGAGCAGAAGCAAAGCAGCGCTCATTAGTGTAGACTCCACAGAAAGTATAATGCAGTCTCTGGAAGCAATAAAAATGTGGCTAATAATTGTAGAAAGAGTCTAGGCAAAAGTACAGCTGGGAATGTGCCAAACTGCCTGACTATAATTTGGATTGGCAGTTGGTCGTATTATCTTGCCAGTCATTGATTGCACAGATATTTGAATATTTCTTCTGATTAATATCAGATTTTATGGCAAAATCGGTATATTTTTTATTTACATTCCAGCCTATTTTTTTGCCAGGTTTAACTTTTAGCATGGATAAGCCTAAGCTGAGCCTCAGTATACAAAAAAGCATCACAAAACCAGGGAGAAAAATCCTTTCCACACATCACACACATTTAAAAAAAAAAAAAAAAAAAAAAAATAAAAAAAAAAAAAAAAGAAATAAAAGCTGCAAGAAAAATAGGAAAAGGGGGGGGGAGGGGGAAAGGCAGTAGGAGAAGAAGAAGAACAGGTAGACTGGAAGAAGTGGTTGGACTCAAATGACCTTAAGAATCTTTTCCAACCTAAATGATTCTATGATTCTATAAGCTTGATATGATTTTCTGTGTTAGTGGTTCTAAATGTCTTTCTAGCACGCAAAGTAATTACTTTTGGTTATGAGAAATTAAAGAAATAAGGGTGCCTAATGAGGAGTGCAGGATTTCATTTGATTATGAATCTAGATTTTTTTATCATTGTATCATTTTGTTGCTGTGCCAGAGAACTTGCAATTGTGACAGTCTTGTGGGATTTCTGCAGCAGCTGGAGTACTATTGAACAACAGTTCCTGAGATGTGGAGAGGTTGATCATGCTGGGGACTAAGCTGAGAGAGATTATGAGGGCTTTGGCTCATCATATTAAAAAATGCCATGGCACTTTCTGGGAGACCAGTGTCTCCAAATGGCCGTGGTCATCTAGAAATGACCAAAGCTATCCATTGCTACTTCCTAGGGGTATGACCACCTCCTCCAGATAGGTGTGACTGGGAAGCTGGAAAGGGGCTCAGTGGTCACAGACACCCGTATTTCAGTCAGTTGCTGGAGTAAAGAGCAGCAAACAAGGACCAGTACAAGACTCTGTCTGTACTGTCCAATGGAAAGTTCTCAGACAAGAAGTGAGCTAGTGCCACCATAGTGCACCTGAGGAGGCGGCCTGGCGGGAGGAAATTAAAGCAATTAGCACCACCATGAAATTAGACACCCTTGGGCATCTTCTCAGCTCCTTATGTCAGTGAGAGGGAGAGCTCTTACAAAGTGGAAATTTTTTTCTAGCCACAGAGTGGTTCCTCATTCCTAAAGATTTGCAGAAGAATGTATTTGAAAGGCTACGTGAGGGTAATTTAGAGATTGAAGAATTTCGCAGGGGGATCAGTTATATTGTAAATTGCCCTCAGACAAACTATGACATTATGGAAACTCTTAAGGTTTGTCAAATATACTAAAAGACAAAACAAGTGCAGTGAAACATTCAGTGTTGGTGGCATAGAAAAATTGTCTGCCTGGAACAAAACAGTCATGGATTGTTTCAAGCTCACAACAAAAATGCTTCTTCATTAAATCAATTTAAAACAAACAGACAAACAAAAGCAACACCAGAATCTGCTTGCTACATCTGAGTATAAATTACCGAACATTTTACATGAGGACTTACTTTTTAGTGCATTCATTGAAGTAATATTCATAAGTCTTCTTTGATTTTGCTTTGAGCAAGTGACTGAATCTTACTGGCACCTCATTTAATTTGGGTGAAATCTGACTTTGTGCAGACTATGACATGAAATTGATACTTTTCTTCAATCACCACAATAAGAACAAGCCAGACTTAAGGTGGTGGATTACTGTGCTGGCCTTTGAAGAAAATGCAAATCCATAATCTCTCCTAATTTGATAGTTAGTTTAAATATCTAACAGTAGAATATCTGAGAGAACTTCTAGAGGAAGACAGCAGTTTTATCTCTTGCAATAAAGCTGCAGGCTCAGCCTTCTCTAAGAAATACATTCATCTGCTTTCTCATTTTAGGAGTTAGCGAAGAGGTAGAAACACAGTCACAGAGCAGATCAGAATCACTCTTTACCTCCAAGAAAAATGAAATCTTTTCTTAGAGGAGTGACTGAATACAGAGTCCCATATTCTGGAGGACTGCAAAGTGTTTTTCTAACAGATACTGTTTGTAAGCCTGTATTGTGGTGATAAAAAAGACTCTACCCATGCCATGTGAACAGAAGGTAAAGAAATCAGCTGGAAAGGGAAATTAAATGCTATCTTACTTAGCAGCAAACACATCAACGCAACGATTTCTTGTTTTTCTCTTTACAACATTCTAAAGGGCACAATGAGTGCCCAAAGATGTAAACTTAATTTAGGTTTTAAACAACATTACTTTGTGGACGGATAGTAATTTTGAACAAGTTCCAAGAAGGAAAGCAAAGGCAAGATTATAATGCAAGAATTAATTCATTTCTGGATTCCTTATTCATTTCTACACAATTAAAGCTCCTAATATTGCTTCAAAATATGACAAATCTAACTTTTTTTTTTTTTTCATCTTCAACAGAAAAGGCGAATTAGGAGTAAGCACAGATTAAAATGATTGCAAGCTGTGGTGATGGCAGCCTTTCTTTTTAACCGAAAAATCCTTTGAACAAATATTGAACTGATGATGTGAATATGACTGATGTGATTTGTCAGGTTGATCACTTTACTTCCCCTCTTTTATTGTAGATATTCTGTTGGATGATGTCACTGATGGAGCACTCCACAAAGAAGGTCATAGCGTGAAAATTTTAGTCACTATAAACAAGGGCTATAGTCGAGTCAAGGTAACTTCTTTACCCAAAGGTCTAGATGCAGAATTATAAATCAGGCAAATCTTGCAGTAAAGTAGCTCAACTTGTTTCAGTATTTTCAGCCAGAAACTACAGTGAAATATCCTAAAGATAGCAGCTCCCTTCACTGTCATCCATGCTCAATACAGTTAGGCACTCTCCATAGACTAATGTCATATGGCCTCCTTCTGCCTTTGTGGTGTCTCAGACACTACCAATTCTCAGTTTAATTAGTAGTAGGATGTTCTGGGACTTGCTATTTCCATTTAAAAGTCATTATAAATTAGCTCTATGCCTTGAAACCCTTAGGGTGCAACTATGAATATGCTGCTGAGGTAATCAGTTTGGAATTGCATTGTCGTGTTTTCATGTTCTGTGTTACAAAAAATTATAAACACAGTGCAACTTTTATTTATATTCAGCTCTTTATAAACTCAGATGCAATCAAAGAGCAGAATAAGACACTGTCTTTCCTTCCTTATAAAGAAGTACCAAAGTAATCTCATTTATACCTATTTTTGGCACAGAGATTATTAACAAAAATGTAACATGACATTCTAAATAACATTCATTTTGTTCATTGGAAAAATTATGAATCTTTATAGAAATTTAATTACTACCATTTTTAGTCCAGTTTCCAAAAATCTCTCTTTGCAGGATCAAAAACCACATGCATATTTGATAGGATCAATTGGAGTCAGCGGAAAAACAAAATGGGACGTTTTAGATGGTGTAATCAGACGTCTCTTCAAGGTAAGACACTGAAAAATTAGCTCAAGTGTTACTTCAATTTTCTTTTTCACTTAAGAAAAATTCTGTATTCTTTGAGTTGTCTTGCCAAGTTAAGTTTTTGTTTTGATTTGGTTTGGTTTTCGACATACACCTAATACCACTATTATATTTTATCCTTAATGTTGCTGTTGTTTTTTTCATGATTGTAGGCAGTTCTCTATTGAATGTGACTGTAAGAATCTCCTTGTCAGGTGACTTCACCTATACCAAAATATTTCCCAACTGCTTTCATTCAATAACCACTTTTGGTTTTATGTCTTACGTTTTCATATAATTGCAGGAATATGTTTTCCGAGTGGATCCGACTACTAGCCTGGGTTTAAGCTCTGACTGCATTGCTAGCTATTGTATAGGGGATGTAATTAGAGCCCATAGCCTAGAAGTGCCTGAACTGCTGCCTTGTGGATATCTGGTTGGAGATAATAACATCATCACTGTGAACCTGAAAGGTAAAACCCCAAGAATATTTTTGCAGATACTGTAGAGTTCTTCATTGCAGTACCCCAGCCCTTCATATTTTTTCATCTTACGCCTGGCCTTTCTGTATTTTGTCTCCAGTTCAAGGACTCATTTATCACATAAACTCTCTGTATGACATTTACAATACCTAACACAGTGCAGCAGTTTGAGGCAAATCTAAGAATATCTCTGTCCTTCTCTGCCGGACCGCTAAAACACAGCAAAGTACAAATTGCTGAATAGTGGCAAAAAAAAACAATCCCAAACCTAAGATTATGGTGAGAAATGTTTATGCCTTACTCAGTTCCACAGGAAAAATTCCATACGTTTCAAAAGCATTAGTGATTGGAGGGAAGGAGGGCCTTCAGAACTGTACATACATTGCTGTGGCAACCGGTAACCCTTGTGGCTGTCACTTTAACCTTTCTTTTGTCATGGTCGCCTGTAGTGTCTGAAACATACATCTCTGCCTCACTGAGCCTACTCTTCACGTTTACTTTGATTTCATCTCTCCCACCCATCTTATCCCACTGCCACTGTTTAATTTTTTGGTCCTGTGGAAGGACATAAGCATTTTCACAGTAATGAAGCCCTTGATAGGAATTTGATTTAGGCAGAAGTATCTTACCTTGACTTTGAGCATAGCACTTACACCATCAGGTGCTGGGCCAAGCCTGTACCTGCCTTAGCAAGGATGAAGACAGGCCATTTTTCTTTTCTTTTGTTCCCAGGAGTGGAAGAAAACAGTTTGGACAGTTTTGTGTTTGACACATTAATTCCTAAGCCAATTACCCAGCGGTACTTTAATTTACTGACGGAGCATCGCAGAATTATTCTGTCGGGACCCAGTGGCACAGGAAAGACCTATTTAGCTAACAGACTGGCTGAATATATTCTAACTAAATCGGGCAGAAAAAAATCTGAGGATGCAATTGCAACTTTTAACGTAGATCACAAGTCAAGCAAGGTAAGTTACAGTTGAAAAGATAACCTATTGCCCAGTTGGTAGTGACGATGCAGAGCAGATGCTATTAATTGGCGTACTGTTTTGTTGCTTGGTTAGCACTTTTTCCTAAGTGAGGAACAGAGACCAGATCTCTCTCTCCTAAACAAACCACTGAAGCACTGTGAAGGAAGTCTGAATTTTTCCTCACTTGAGGAAACCCACCTTAAGGATAGATGCAAAGTTGGCTTCCTATATATATTAAATTCTTAGACTGTCTGTATTTCCTTTGTCAGAAAGGTTGGAAATATAGTAACACTAGTCTAACTTGCTTTTTTATAGTGATGATAGCAGCTGATGGTTAGCAAACATTTCAAAATGGGGATTTTGAATTACTGTCTTGGGTTCAGCTTCTTATTCAGCACTGGATAAATACAACTGCTGCTACGGTTTCTGGCGTGCATTGGTCAGGAAGCTGACCATACTAAAATTGCCTCATGCATCATGTCACTTCCACAGTGATTTACATAGCTCAGATTGTCAAGCTTCTAGCATGACTACTGTGCTAGTCACGGATAATACTATTCACTTGCTGTCCTAAATTGGGTATGCACCTAACTTGGTACCCAGGGAAAAGAAAATGAAAGGTTTTGCCCAGAGCTTTCTCATGTGCACAGAACATAATGAGTGTTAACACAATATAAGAACGAAGAACATACACAGCCCAAAGGGGCAAGAGGACCATTCCAGTAAAAACACTGCTTTCCAGTGTCTTTATACAGAGGATTTGTGATGCCATTTTCTTTAGCAGGGGATGTGTATAGGTTTTATTGGTATACCATATACATTTATAATGAAAATTGCCCCACAAAATAGCAAGCTTTTGGATTTCTGGTAAATTGCTTGTTGAATGTGTTTTTGCTTTGGGTTTTGGGGGTGTAGTTTTCCTTTGTTTCTATTAAGATAAATATAGAAGTTTTCAGTTTATAGTAAAAAAGAAAAAGCAACATTGTCAAATACCAAGTGTGTTCGAATAATACAGATGGTGCTATTCCATGGAAGAAACCCATGATGTTCCCCTAGAAAGCCAAACAAAAATCTTTCTTGAAATAAAAAAAAGATTGCATGTTCCCATTAAAGAAGAAAAGATTCTGCTATCCCTGATCCTGAAAGTAAAATGGCAATAGGAATGTTGTCCATAAAACTGAGCATTCCCAACACTGACAAAATTGGATACCTCTAGAGATATAGCTGTAAAACTTGACTAGCCCAGACCCCCAGAAGCAACAAAGTGTTGAGAAAAATATGAAATGTTTTGATTATAGAAAGCTCTTTTACTCCAGCATTAAACAGCAGACTGACAGATAGCTGACAGAAAAAAGGAATTTACACAACAAATTTTATTAGGAGGTGTGATATAGTATCCCCAAAAAGTCAAACAGATTTTCAGTGAGCATGGTGAAAGGAGATATCTGAAGGAGTATTTCAATGTGCCTAAGTTGTGTGATAATTTGGGGGGGATTTTTGGTATATAAGTGCGGCATTCATAAGAATGGAGGTCCAACAACCAATGTGAGTATCTCAGCCTATTGGAAATGGCATATTTTAGTGCAACCTATTTTCCTCTGGAGATAAGATATTTTATCAGCAGGTTTCTAAGTAAAGTATCCCCCAAATAGTAATGTATATGCTTCAGTCACTTGCCTTATGTTTAGTGCCTTTGTTTTCCCTAGCGTGTGGCTTCCATGTTGCCCTATCTAAGAAGCAGGTCTTCCTGCATGTTCTGATCCAGCTGAACGATCCACAGTGGGGAAACTCTGTAGCAGCCTCTTTATCTTTCTGAAAATCTTTTCCACTGAAATTACATGTATGGTCTAATTGGGTTAATCTTTTCTGGGTTTTTTTGTTAATTCTGCTGAAGGATCTGAGACAATACCTAGCAAACCTAGCTGAGCAATGCAGTGCTGACAACAATGGTGCTGATCTCCCTGTGGTCATAATTCTTGATAATCTCCACCACATCAGTTCACTAAGTGACATCTTCAATGGTTTCCTCAACTGTAAATATAATAAATGGTAGGTAGTAGCTCTTCTCTTCCCTTTCACACACGTTTTGCAATTAAACCAGTAAAAGCTGTTTGTTTTTGCAAAATAAAATGTTCTAGTGGAAACTTAGACTCCCATAGGCTGTCAACAAAGCCCTTATGTGCTTGAACAATTTTAACCCTCTTCAACCAAGTACTTAGGTGTCTGCTTCACTTTATTTATATGACTCCCATGTATTTCAGTGAGATGCAAATGTACCGCAGGATTCAAGAATGTACTTAAATGCTTGACTGAATTAGGGTCTCAACCCTTTCACCCTGTCAGATCACACAAGCTCATTAGTACCATGAGGAGACTTTGTGGGAGAGTAGGAAGAAATGCATTTTATAATAGAGGAATTTGGGATATGTGTGAAGCCATGAACCATGCTGTGCAGAAGCAGCTGTGTATCTGGCAGACTTGCACTTCCTACAGTTTTCCTGTAGCAGCGCAGAAGTATGAAGTTTCCTGACTATCCTTTATTGCCAAGCATGAATAAAAAGAATGGTTTCTGGCCTATAATATTGGCTATTTCTGCTGTAAAAGTGCTGTCATAGGGACTTGCCTTCATAAAATCACTGCATGCTATGTCTTACCCACGAGATTCACTGGCTTCTGAAATTAAAACTCTCAGCCTACTGCAAAATCATGAGGTACATGAGGACAGCATTGCCTCATTTATTTCTTTATTACAGATGAGTACTAGTAAATGACAAATGTGCCGAGAGGGAAATCATACAAGAATAAACATTTTTTAAAAGTCACCTCAGAATTATTTTAAATCTAAGACTACAATACACTCAGTGACTTTTAAAACTGGCCTAGCGCAGATAAGTAGAAAGAATATTCTTTGAATATCTGAGTGGATTCTCCCTCAAAAAGCCCTACTATTTTTTTCTTTTCAGTCCCTATATTATTGGAACCATGAACCAGGGAGTTTCTTCTTCACCAAATCTGGAGCTGCATCACAATTTCAGGTACATTCACTCTGTATTTATTGTTGCCATGTTTGCACAGCTCCCTGCTTCTCAGAGCAGTTCTTCAACAAACATTGATCTTGTGTGTCTCATCACAGCAAAGTATTTTAGCTTCTGTGTCTGTCCTGTATTGATGGGTCTCTGAATGGTGTTGGGGAATGGTGAAAGAAGTAAGATACTTTCTGGCACCTCTAGCAGGTTGCTGAAGACAATTGCATTCTTGCATTCC